ATTTGTCGCGTGTAATCCGCCGATAAAATTGGATCATCCCGAACGATCATACACGCTTGAGACAAAAGTCTGGCGCAGGTTCCTGGACCGGTGACCAGCGTGTGTCCGCCCACGCGAGGACGTCGGTCGTTCTAAAAATACACAATCCGGTCCGCGGCATACGGTGCTACCGGTTTTAAATCTCGCCGCGCTACCGTCCGGGCTCCGATTCAATACTTTCCATCGAAATAAAGGGAGACGATCCTCGGCCTGGACCGCGATAAACAGGGAACGAACGATAGGGGTGGTTGTCCCAATGTGACGCTTTTGGGAGCCGCTAAACTTCTGGATCGTTAATGTTGATCACCTTCCCGAGCGCGTTGCGCGAAAACGTCGGCGCGAATTGCCGTTACCGAGGAGGTTCCAGTCGACGAAACGACCGTTAAAAACGACAGTTGCAGATGCCGCACGATTCAGGGAACGATTGCGATTTTTATGCTTAATCGGACGAAACGAAGTATCGGAGCAGTCTTGGGCACGAGCTCCGGTCCATTGCAGGAAATGGAAATTTTTTTTCGTGACGGATGTGAACGTAGTTTGTAAGCGAATGTAGAATGAAGATGACTATTTGTGGACGTAACATTATACGGCTTAGCAATTTGGATCTCGTGTAATTTTTTAGCATATGGGGAAATCTTGGAGAACTTAAATTTTCTTCGACTGAATTGCATGTATTTTTTTAAGCCTTCTGTAACCCCTGTTATGTTTACTGTTTCTGTCACCCCCTTGGGTCTTTTATGTCCAGAACTATTTTTTTATATGAGCTTCCAAAAAATCTGAAAAATTCCTATGGTCTCTACTACAGTAAATCCTCGATGAGTGTTCGAAGGCTCCTCCGCACTCATCCCTACCACTGAAGGAATCTCCTTTAAGAAAGCGCCCAGTGGTGGGGATGACATCTGAACGAAAGTGCCGAGGAATCTTGTACACTTATCGACGATTTACTGTACACAAATATCTCAATAGTTTTTAAAGTTGAATATTAAAAGGCTTTTTCTAATAACAATCTCTTTGTTTCGGAGATATTTGAGCACGACATATCGTCTATACCATAAAAGGCCCAGAAGGTCAAAGAGATTTAATAATTGTCTGTTATCTTCTGTTTGGTCTACCGTGATCAGAATTCACTGATACTTATGAAACAGAATAATCCGAGTGATTGTGTATGTAGTATATTCTAACACATTCTGTATAATTGCGTTCGACTGTTATTTAGAAAAAGTACACCATTTTATTACCTGTCTAAAAGAAGTAACGTTTATCTCGGTTGCTAGCCGATCGAAACTTCTCCATTGAAGCAAAATATTCTAAGATTGTAACACTCAAGTTCCTTTTTTTTTTTTCATCAAATACCGTTCCCATTTTCCTACCATCGATCACTGTTCAGATTCAAGAATGAAAAAAAAAAACAACCCAAGTGGGAATCGTCGTGGAACGAAACGAAAGTAGTCGCAACGCGTAGGTAAAGCTCGGTAGCCAGGCATTACCAGCTAATTAAGATCCCAATAAAATCTAATCGGCGCACAAGCCATAAATCACTAACTGGGTCGGATGGTTCTCTCGCGATGCGGAAAACTAGTTCGTCGAGCGCGGGGGATCGACGTTTCGTATCCAGTCAATTAATATCTTTCTACGTCCGCGCGGGCGAATTTGATTAACGGCATCAAGTGCATCTGCCTAGGCTGTTGCACGCGCGAAATTGCCGCGGTCGCGATCGCTGTCTGCTCGGCTCTAGACCGGCATTAAGCATCGATCTGTCGATATCGATGTGCCATTCTCCGGCCTGGGATGGAACCCGGGCTCGACTCCAGTTTCTATCGGTCCGAGGCGGTAATGTCATCTCCCTGTAACGTCATCCCCGACACAACGCCGAGGATTCACCTGGCCTTTAACTCCCTCATCTGATATCCAATGACAATGTCTCTTCGCTCCGTTCCCGCCATTAATCTATTCTCCTCTTGCCTTGTCGTTAACCTGCCCCCGGTGAATGCAGATAGTTCTTGATCGTTCGCCGGTTCGAGTGACACGCTTAGCATCGCTGAATCGATGCATCGCGCGCGCCATGGACTCCCGTGTTTATGTGTTTCACGCGTTCCCTGGATTCATTCGACCACTCGTCTTGTAGCTATTTGCAAGTATAAACGATCAGGGTGATGGTTTCGATGACATTCTGCGATTTTTGCGGATAAAAATGCATACTTTTCTATACACACCACGTTATATAGCGTCGTCTCGGAATCATTCTGAGCCTTTGTTCGGAGAAATTGACTGTGAATGAAGTTCGAGTTTACAACGATCTGAATGTTTTTTGTGATAGGATTGCTACTTTTCTTGGAGTATCGGTTAGTGAAGGGTCTTAAGTACGATTGTTATCTCAGTGAGTAGTTTTATTTCAAACTGTACAAGATTTGTTCGGTTCTACTGTTTCTTCAAGTCTGTCTATAAGAGGAATAAAGAGACAAAGAACGGATAAGATCCGAACGATGGCTTATGATCGTCGGTATAAAATATTCCCGTCATACATGTTTTCGATCTTCTTTTTCCAATTTATTTGAAATCCCCATTGTGCGTGCCCGCGAGGTAATAACGCCGATACTTATTTATGTGATTGCATTGTACGACCGGTAGCAAACGCATCGATGCATCGTATGCATTGTGAATCAACGGCTCGCAGTAGGCGCACATTGTATTCTTGTTTCTCTGCCTGTTTACCCATTCATTGGTCGCATAAAAAATTGTCAGTTAGCCAAGTATCGCCGAACCCCCATGAATATCGTTCGTGTCCCCGCGAATTGCCCGCGAAATTAAACCGTGCCGTCACGTCTCTGTTTTATTCATACGTATCGCGCCGTGGGTATTATTTTTGTACACGGTCCCGTTGAGTAAATTAACGCCGCGGGTCCTTATTGCGCGTTTCATCGTCGTCGTCGTCGAAATTCACGAGCACGCCTCGGAGAAACCGACAGGACCGTAGCCGGGCGTCGTCCTCTTGTCGTCGTTCGATCACGGGGGCACGGCACTTGAAACGGCTTCGGCGAGGATTTTTTTTTGGAGTCGATAATATTCCGGTTCCTGAAAACGCCGTATCGCCTCCGCCGAACGCCGCCCAACTACCCCCGTGGAGTTGCCCGCAGAAACTACGCAGTTACGCTCGGGTGTCGTTCCCGTCGTGTCGTACGCGCCTCCACGGAACCGCTTCGGAGTGCATGCAAGCGTGGCGTTCGTTTGTGTGAGTTCCCTCTCACTCTCTCTCCTGTCGAGATCTCATTGCTACATGCTACACGATTCCTCCCGTAAGCGATTTACATTAGCCACTTGAGAAGAAAATCTTCTAATAAATCTCATTTATTCGTCATCAATCAGAATAAGAATAAACGAAATTATTAATCAAAAATATATATGATTGGATAGGGGTAAAGATTCCACAAAATTAAATTGTCCACCCACCTTTCACGTTTCATCCGTTCGCGATCGAAGCTCCCCCCCCCCCCTGTCAATCGATTACAAAAGTTTTAAATTTCATTCCATCTTCTTACCCCACTTGACCCTAAACCGGTAAATTTACAACGCTGCAACACACCACGCGCAAGCATAGGGAAATACACGCTCGCGAGGCTCACGCACGTTCACTCGCCCCTCCACCCTCCAACAAACGACTCCTTCTTTCCTCCCTTTCTTCGCATCGTACGAGTCGGATGCGCGCGCATCGCACCCCCACCGGAACGCCAACCGGCCGCCGCACGATGGGACCGTGGTGGGGGGACTGTGTTGCCGCTACAGAACGTGCGCGCCGTGTGCTCGGGACTGAAGGCAGAGGAATCATTACCACGCCAGACCTCGAGGAGTGTAGACGTGCTTCTCGTTACCTCAGCTCAGTCGAGAGTTCTCGTGTTGCTTTGCTTTCTTTCTTGTTGCACTCTTTAACTACGCGTGTGATAGTCGCGCCAAAGAGGAGAGACAGTCGAGATATACGCAACGTGTTGTTACACCCTGTCGACCGTGTGCGTGTTTAAATTTGGTTGAAAAAGCGGAATAATAACGCAGGAAGAGTTTTTTTTTTATTCCTTGCTGGTTTCCTCGAATCACGGGTAATAAGTTTCGTTTTGTGCAACTCCGTGCGAATCGACGCTCGTAACCAGCTGGAGGACTCTGAGTGCATCGGTGTGTCGTGTTTTATAACAGCGAGGACATTGAACTCTGTGCCGTATCCCGCGGGACGTATTCGAACTGTCATCACTCGCGCGGTGCTCTTCCGGTCCGAGACTGTCGAACCCACGACGACACCGTCGATCGTTATTCGCCGATCTCGGCGATTACTCGACTCCGTGTTTCGTTTCTAGAATCGGAACAAGGGGACCGTCTATCCCGTATTCAGCACCTATGGAAAGTGATCCATACGAGGATCCACCTTACAGGCGCTGTAGACGACGTTGTTGAGAGATCGGACAGAGAACGAAAATAGACACTCGCGATTGACGCGATCAGATCCATAACACCCTCCCCGCGTTATTTTCCGTCAATTTCGCGCGGTGTTTCGCGGGCCACGTGCGTTTTATACGGACACAATCCCGTGGCGGCGATATAGCTAGTTGGTAGTCGCGCGGCGACGAACATTGGAGCGTGCGCCGTCGAATTCAAGAGTCACGTGTGGTGCCCCGCCGCTGAACGAAAATACGTCTCGCCGTCAGATAGATCCGTGCCCGCGAATCCTTTGACTCTTCTTCGATCAATTCGCTCTACCCGAGGGAACAACGACTCGCAAACCGAACGTTGTTCCGTTTGTGCGTGCGAGAAACAAAGAGAGAGCGAGAGAAAGAATATATAATTAAAGTGGTTAGTGCTTGATCCACGAACATATATTGGTTCGATTGCAGTGGCCTTCCGCTTGAAATAAAAAGAAAGAAAAAACGGCATCAGAAGAAGTTATTCAAGAAGACCAGCGCACCTGCCATCATCGAGAAATGGCGATCCCATTTTCTCTGCCGTCCGACGACGACGCGGAGGCCCAGGGTCAACAGCTGGAGCAACTGATGCTCGATCTGTACGCAGCTCTGCAACAGGTCCTACGAAGCAGGACAGCCCAACATCCGTCGCGAAATCGTGAGTTCTACGGTTTTTTAAGACTCGTTCTCACCTGCCTCGAGGCCTTTCTGCCTGTCCTTGCACGGCTCTCGAACTGCCCGCCGCGATGAACGACCTGCCTGTTTCGTCAGCCTGAGGCTGCACAGAAAAAACGAATCGGCAGGTCGGCTCTACTCTCGCCATGCCTCACACACAATACACACACACACACACACACACACACACACACACACACACATAAAACAGACACATTTCGCTCTACTTTACCCCATCCTCTCGGTCCCTTTTGCCACGGCTAGATTCGATCTTACCATGAACACATTGGTTCTGGACGGCTTTCCAGAAAGACGCGCAATCCGAAGACGAGGGACCGTTTAGCGGTGGTTGCATGAGAGAACGCGGTGACACCCGCAGAGAGACACAAACACGTTGCTTATCCTCCGTGAGGACTGGTAGTTGACACCCACTGGTCACACATAGTCATGAAGATCCTTGTAGTCACACTAACGTTATACACACGGTAGAGACTATCTTTGACGGTTGTTTGACCGATTCCTCCTTTTTCTTAAGTGCTCTAGAATTTCCTGGTTAGAACCGGGGAGGACTGTAAATTTCGTTAATGTCATACATTAAAAAAATCTCGGAACGTTTCTTGTTCCTTTTTTTTTTTACCTTGTTAATATTTTAATTATTTATATAATTATTGTTTTGTTACGTCATTTCTCTTTCTATCTCTTGTATTCTGTAACACGAAACATGTGAGTTTACTGAATAAACTATGAATACGTTGAAATTCTCGTGTCCGACACTATTGATTTCCACTTTTCCCGCTCGGGAAACGCGAGCCCCGGTTTGCACGCGCAACAACGTGCTGTATCGACTAGCAGGGTGCAACACGTGGTTGTCGCGCGCAACAACCGTGGTCCGCTTTTGGCACGTCCCGCAAAATTCTCGATGCACTTTCGATGCGTGGCACTCTTCGGGAACGACTTTCCACGGGAAACTTCGACTAGACGTCAAAAAATAGTAAGTCCGATTACTTAACTACATCTACGACTCCGTTTATCCGAACTCTCCACATATTTGTAGGAAATTCTTCTGTACACTCGATACAAATTACACTTAAATCACTGACCACTACACTACTATCGAATTTTAATTTTATTTCGCGACTACAGTGATGGTTTACGTTCGAATCGCGTGCTGTGTATCAGAATCACGAAATTCACGTGAAATTATGTTCTACGAATATCTCGATGTGTCGAATCATCTTGTCTTCCGAAAGTTCGGATGAACGGAATTCTATCCGGTAATAGTTCGTGACATAGTAAGCGAAACGTAGAAAAAAAAATTCGTAACGCGTGCGTAAATACGCAGTGAGAGTGGAATTATGACGCAGTATTCTGAAAAGTTTGCATTGTATTAATTTCGTTCGTGTTCGAAGTGTGCGCGAGTCGCGTGAGGTCGTTGACCTACGTCGGTCCGGTTACACGTTTTCGTTGAAAATCCCGATACATTTGACAACGGTCGTTTTCTAATGAGTCACCGTCGAAAAATTTTGGGTCCAGCCGATGTCGCGAGGTGTGCTCCGGCGGACATTTTTTCGTACGCGATTCCGCGTCATCTCGGGACACGTAGCGATTCGAGACGTAGCCGAAAGAATCTCGCGATTTGCCAAACTTGCTCGGTCATGTTTCTGCTTATAATATATTTGAAAGTTGAATTAATCATGACTTACACCCGAAAATAACTGTCCAATCATGTTTGGGATTTTCGGCGTTTAAACTATCCTAATAACGTGTCAAACTTTCCGTGCTCAACTCACGATTGCTTTGGTAGTGTGGTTGACTTGCTGTCTGACTGCTGCGTGATCTGTAGTTTTAGTTTGCGTGTTTCTATTTTCTTTAATAACAGTATTTAGCATGCACGCTTCGCTTCGTCTACTGCTAACATTTCGAATCTCTAATCGTTAATCTGCGTGATTACTGTATTTCTATACGGAGACATTAAACATAACTGAGAAATGTGATCTGACAGGAAGAATAACTCACCAAATCGCTCTTACGTCAATCAGTCAATTTTAGGAAAATCCAAGCCTGACAAATTCATTAGCACATAGACACATAAGTCAGTGATAATAATTCAAAATATTACACAGTTGCCACCTGTCCTGTCTCTAAACATCTCGATCTATTCATCGCTGTACATCATATATAATATACATAAACTTCGATAGAAACAACGAGAATCCGTGTAGAGGCGTAAATTGCGGTAACTTATATTCGGGCGCGCATAATGAAACGCGGCTTTACGAGGGTGCAGCGAGCGAAAGGGGGGCGACTATAACAGATGTAGCGTGGGTGTAGGAGTCGAGAGTATGGCAGACGATGTCCGGCCATGACCCTGCACCGCTGTGTTCTCCGAGCCTTCTTTACGGCGAAAGAGACGGCGACGGTCGGCCGGATCGACAGGAGAGAGAGTAGGAGGAGAGCAGAGAGAAAAAGAGGCGAAGACCGATGGTCAGGCACACACACATACATACACACGCACACATGAGTAAAACACGCCATAAAACTCGATGCAACGTCTCTCATTCCCCGAATCTCGGATATGTCGATCCTGTCCGGTTCGCGTCTAGAGATTGCCGGTATCAAACCGCAAAATGAGTAACCGATTGGCTCGCTCCGTGGTCTATACGATACACAACGTCCCCGGGCTGAGCTTTAAACACCCTGAACATACAGGGGGAAGTCGATCTTGAAAACGATTCTGGCAAGAAATTCCTTATTCCGGATCTTTTATCACGACCAGAACGACATATACAAGGTAATTTTAATAATATCGGATCGTTGCTCGTATACTTGTTTCGCGGTAATTTACGATACCTATACGGGAGACAGAGTCGGAGCACCCAATGAAATTCACATTACCTGCCGCTTCGAACGCTTCCAATCGAAGGTCGCCGCACTCGTAGTCGCTCGATTAATCGCGGATGCAAACGCTTGCTGGATATCGTTTCTGAATCCACATCGATTCTACAGCAGCAAAACGTAACTAACGAGCCTTTGATCTCGCCGCGCGACGCGTACAAGTGTCCCGAACCGAACCGCAAATTACATCCGGTCGTTGTCGCGTACACCGACTCTCGATACTGTCGTTTCTCGGAGTGACGAAACATTCTGTCGAGTTTCACGCTCTGTCCACGCGTTATTCTATCGATTGCGTCGAATCGTTCGATGGTACCGTCGGGAATGTTTCTCACCCAGATCTGACGTGCCCGGAGGGGCTTCTCTAGTTTTCGTTAGTACGTGCCCAGAGAGGACTCGCGGAGTACGCCCGATTGTCGTCGTAATAAACCGTTCCCGCAGCTCCAAGTTCCGCTGCCCCCTCCCATTCGTCGTCCATAAATCAACCGAACGAACGGAGATCCGCGAGAGGATTCTCATTACGAAGTTAAATTATGCGCCGGGATCCCGCGGGTTCATTATTTCCCGTACGGAAATAGTTTGCGGGTCGCGTGCGAGGGTCAATAACCATAGTTTTCGCTGGCGGGGCGCGAGCGAAGATGCAGAATCTGGCGCGGGTGCGCTTGGGCTGTTGCATCGAATCGGGGGTGGTTATTTATAGAAACAGCTGTGGCCAGCCCCCGTTTTCGCGACTTCTACAACCGTGACAGAAAACTTCCCCCTCGTCATCGTGCTCGCGTAAACGTGACCACGGTAATAACGATTACGCTATCCGATAACAAGTCATCATTTTTCTTCTCTGCCCGTCCTCCCCCTTCGTCTTTCTATCTTTGTGCTGCTCTCTTCGCTCTCTCCGTGGGGTGGATAATCGCTCAGCGTGTTTTCAATCGGTCCCGTCGCGAGCGTGCCCCTTTTCTTACGATACCGTGTCACGATAAAGGGAATCGAACTTGTGTGTATGCTATCTCGCGATCGCTCTAATCGGGGGCGTTTAATTTCTCGGTAAGAGAAAGATCGGATGTCGTCCCGTAAAACGATAGCCCCCCTCGACACTGAACTTCGTATTATGTTACTTTGTCCCTGGTCGTGGTGGTGCTGGTGCCTTGTTTCGTATCGACGCGCGCCGAAATTCGTGTTAGAGGGTACGACGTTTCCGAAGCAATTTCTACGTTTCCGTTTCGTTCATCGATTTAGAGCGCGGAATAATTCATTGTTCCCCCTGAATTCGTCGTTAAAATCGTTTCAACAGCTGGAAACCTTGCGAATGATGAATATCCCTCGTAATGTCCAGCGTCGATCGTTCAACTCTGGAAATTCATTTCGTCCCGATCCTCCTACCGGTAGACAGAATACGATCGATTTCGGGGGGGGGGGGGATACCGAAGACGAGAACCACGAGCGCGACATCGTCTATAGGGCTGATGAAATATTGAAAAGAATTCGTCATTGCCGATTGTCCGGTCTCCGTTGTCTCCTTCCATACCGTCCCACGAGAGGCACAAGCGTTATTGGCGGAGTTCTTAAAATATTCATCTATCTTACTATATACCTCGTACTCCTCTCATCGTCTCGTCTGGCCTGCTTCTGTTTCTCTTTCACGGTCCGTTATCGTCAACGGCCGAGAGCCAGGCGTTATCTCCGTGCCCCGAAGACGCGACTGAATATCGATGAACAATGTCGTGTCTTCCTTATGCACCAGGACCTCGTGGGAGCTTATCGAATTTTAACCCGTTCCCCTCTGACCTTTTTCCATTGGTGGAGGCGTGTATCTCGCGGAAACATCGTAAACGTAACTCGCATAAATTAATCGCAATCTAAGCAAAAGCCCCTATTGTACTTGTTTCTCGGGTTGGTAATTGCAAACGCCATTCTACGTCGCGAATTTTTTTTCGATTTACCCGAGACTCGTTGTTCGCAGTTCCGGCCAATTAACGGTTTCTCGACGAAAACGATTCTTATCCGCGACGCGTACGTTTTTAATTAAAACACACCGTCTGCGTCGGAGCATCGTGCTTTTCCAAGATTTTGGGAACTGACTGACCAAATCCGTGT